CCAACCAGAACAGTCAAAGATACTGTTTTCAAATTAATTAAATTCAGCTCCTGGAAAGTTACAAGATGCAAGTTATTTATTTCCCAAGCAGCAGTTATCAAGAAACTGGATAAAGCAATAGGGCTAAATCTACCTTTTTTTTTCCTCCACCCTGACATCCAACATTACAGCACTTTTCTCCAGTATTGAATTTACTGAGCTATAAATGTTTGTGGCATATTCCAATTTGTCTGGAATAATATTTGGTTTTCACAAAGGCTGGGTATGTGCTCATCTTGAGAAAGGCATCTATTAATTTTATTCTATTAAGAAAAAATTTACCCTAAATCTATGTCTGACTCATATTATTCAGCACAACAACATAGTTCTGTGTTATCATCAACTATCCTTGGAGCCAACGAAAGATTACCAAAAAGAATCTAGTCATGATAGCTACAATATGGTAACAGAAAACAAACAGAAATACTTAATTTTTCTTCATGGGAATTAATGCTTTCTTTTTAGTCCCTGATACTCTACAAGTTACAGCAATCTTTGTCAGAAGCACTCACCTACTCACTAAATGAGAGCGGTGCTGATGGATAAATACTGGAAGGTTTAGAAAAGATTTTGTGGTTCTAGTTAGCATACAGAAAACACCATTTGACAACTACTTTAAAAATACTTTAACTGAACTTTGTAAAAGAAATCTGTGATCTAATTCTCTTCGTTTTCATGTTCAGTATTGAGCATCACAGCAGAACCATCACTGCTCAGTGTGACCTTGCCAGCAATAAGCTTGCATAACTTCTCAAAGGTACCACAAAGCCGATTCACTTTGGGAAAAGAAAAAATGGTTTTAAGAGGTATATAAACCATATTTCCATCAACAAATGGTCCCATGCTTTTTTCAACAACCAGTTTTCCAAGATCTTCTGAAAAACAGTTCATTGAAGGTTGGAATTTGGATTTTCTTTCAGTAGGATCATCATTATATTCCTCATGTTCTGACATTAAACAGTCCAGCAGACTTCGCTTAATGATTTGTGCTCTGAAAATAACTTCACTGACCACAGCATTCTGCAGGTACTTCTCATCTTTAAGACTTGGATACACTGCTTTGAAGACCTTTACAACATACAAGAACACATAAAATGTTTATCATTATCGTATCATGTGTTTGTTAAAAAGATTCTAAAATGTGAACATAATTTTTTATTCAATCCTGTTTTGCTTATTAAACATTTTCAGATAACAGAAAAACTGGCTTAAAATCAGGCTTATAACTGCACGCTATACTTGTAGATCATGCAAGTGAAGCCCTGCAATTCTTTAATACTTTTTAATCATTCTCTTACTTTCCACATTACTCATCATAAGGCTCTGATAACAGTTCCATAGCTATGTAGATTCTAAACTACTTCTGAACTGTCATCTGGATACTGGGACTGCAGCTATGTCTTTCATTCTGTTTTCACAGTAAACCATTAAATATGCTCTCACAGATGCAGAGAATGCTAAAAAATAAGTTGTGACATCAAAATCTGTGAACTCGTGTGTACTACACTGAGCTATACTCCAAAGCAATTAAGGGAACTAGGCAGGCAATCTCACTCCCACTAGTTTACTAGGAAGTACTTTATACAACACACTACCACTGAAGTTCCACAGCCTATAACTACTTCTTACTTTCTGATTAGATCTTGAAACGTTGACTTATTCCCGTAAATTAATTACATAATAAAATAAAAATTAATTTGATAGTCCAGGTTTGATAAGAAACACCCGAGATTAACACTCTTGTTTCAACTCAAAGGATACTGATGTCAAAACTCTTTCCATGACCCTGTAACAGAAGATAATGAAAGCAATTTCTAGTATGTCAGTAACCTAGACATATTTCCAAGTTTGTTGAGCATTAAAGAGCACTTCATGATTCTATTAAGGGCAGTAGATAACAGGTGAAATTTCAAGTGTACAGAATGTCTTTATAGCTTGGAAACTACAGAAGACATTCCCCATAATGTCATGCTACATTTCACTTCAGATCACAAGTCACTTGAAGATACATATATATCTTCAAACGAAGAAGGGAAATATTAGAATATGCTCACTGAAACATAATTTAAAGCCTCATAAGATGGGAAAAAACCCCAGTATATTTCTCTTTTTGCATTATTACTTCATGTTCTCTCTGAAAAAAGTCCTTTGATTTCTACTACATGGCGCTTAGATGCATTAGGCTTTGTCAGTGTGACACGGTGCAACACACAGCAGAATGCTTTACAAAAATATTATCTAATGTGATCTAAAGTGAAAGCCATTTAGTGCTAAAAACCAGGAAGGCTTGATGTACACCACCAGAGAACAGGGTACTTGGCAAGATCCCATGCCTCTGCAAAAACCAGAACTGGCTACCTGAAAACACTGAGATTAGCGTGTAACATAAATGTTACTGAATAAGGCGAACCACACAAAACAGGTCCCGTCACTCCAATTTCTGGGAAGTGCCTTCCTTTTGATAATATATTTGACAAGACTATGCAGTTCAAAACATACACTCTGATAGAAATGCCTTTTTATGCCTTTTTTTTTTTGTTATGTATTTGAAAAATCTGTGTCAGTGCCAACAACCACATAATGAAAAAATGCATGATATGAGGAACAATTATAAAAATAATGTCACAGTATACCTGGCAGAAAGGAGAATTTTCATTGTAAGGATAACAGTATGTTAAAATAAGAATGATTATCCATATTGCTATTCAGCAAATAACCTAAAAGTTAAAGGTCTTTATACCATTAGAAACACAAATCATGGACTCAGATTCTTTTGATCTGATGGTGTGTGTTCATCAGAGCTAAGACTAGATAGCAACAGTAGACCTGTTAGCTAGAGTACTAGATAGCTAGTAGTAGAAGACCTTCACAGGCAGGTCACAGAAAATTTTACTCTTTATTCATCCTCCTAAAGGAAGAAAATAATACTTACCGTTTTGTAAACTGCTTCAGTGGGTTTCTCAGACTGAGCAGATTCACTAGTTTGAGGATATTTTCTAACAAACACACCTATTTGGGTACAAAACCCAACATTCTCCATTCCTGTCGGTGGGTGCCCTACACCAGTAAACTCCACTGAGTAATCATAGCACCTAGCAGTCTCTAGAGCCCTAAAAGAGAGAAATTATTCCAATTATACTAAATATTCATCTTTTAATGTAATAAAGATGCATTCTCTAAAAGACCCTGAGCCTGTGAATGCTTGAGCATAATTTCTCTGATAATACTCACATGCCTGAAGATAAGCACTGTCAAAACTTGCTGAATCAGTGCTGTAATCATATGCCTACCATAGTCTGAATCATTTAGCATCGGTAATTTAGGCAACCAAACATTACTGTTATTTCTAAAATATCTGCATAGATATATACACATGCTCATAGTTGCTTACTCACTATCTTAAATGCACTGAAAGTGAGCTAAAAACTACCAATTTTAGAGAACAAAATTATTTGAGAAGAATCCATAGAAACATACACACCCCAAAACCACAAGAGACCAGTTAATAGAAAAAAAAGAGGTTTGTTCTAAAGGTATAAAGAGTAAAGTCTACCTAATCAAAGTTACAACAATGTACGTGACATCTAAATGAAAACCAATCTTGTAGTACTGTACATCAGCCAGTGTGAAAAGGGTGATGGGGCAGGGAACTAAAATGGCACTACCTACCTCCATCATCCTCTGTGAAAAATTAGTAAACTAAATTAGTATTGCATGTATTTGAGATAATATTGCAATACTTGTATTTCACAACACAAACATAGAGACTTTCTAACATTTGCAGCTCAAAAAATATCACTCCTTCAGTGATACCATGTTTTAAATTCACATATATCAAAAAGCAGAATCTAAATTTACTTTAAGTCATATAAATGGTCTCCAAGGTATTCATCCTTTAGCTCATAATGCAGGCAGGTTTTAGTATCATTATTTAGGGAAAAATACCTGCTTCAAGCTTTGCAAAACTATATACTCAAAAATCACTGCATACTTTAAAGTCTATGGCAGAAACAAACTAATTTAAGGGGCAAATTTTTCAAGATACAATTTCTGACCAAGAGCTGGCTATTGAGGTACGGCATGATTAACTGTACCATATGCTATCTTCCACAACTGCCTAACAGTTCAATGTTATCACAGGCTATATATCCCACTCCCTCTTTATTTTATTACATCTACTGATATTAGAATAATAGACAGCTCATGCAACCCTCTCATGCACGTTTTGCATAAAATCTTTCATTGTGCCACAATCCGCTAAACTATCCTTAACTTAATCACAGTAGCAGAGCATGTTGAATAATTTGATAAATCTGCTTGCATACTCTTACAGAAAGGTCTGGACTAATTGAGTACTTTGATTACACACCATACACAGTAAGTACCATTTCTTAGGTTTTTATGAAGCATTTCTATAGCAGGGTATTATTATGTGAAACGATTAATACCTTACACTTCAAATGTGTTAGTTGTAATAAAGATACCTAGAAAAGAAAGTTTTAAATATTTTTTGCAGAGCGGTTACAGTAAAAGCAAGCCAACTTAACCATCATAAAATTAATAAAATGCAACATCCACAGAGCACGCAAAGAAATGTTTCACCAAATCAGCAGGTATGAAACTCCACTGACACCAAACTACTTATGCAAACGATTCTGAAAACGTATAGCTATTCCTTTCTCACATTACTGAACACCCGAAACTGTCTGCATACGATGTTCAGTAAACTCACCAGCTTTGAAACTGTGCTCGGTTCCATTCAAATTTGTGGTCTGGATGCCTGAATAATGTCACTCCAGGAAGCAAAGGGTTAAATTCAGAATTTGGAGTACTGATCACAACTATGCTTGGAGCCATGAAACCAAACACCACTTCAGGAAACTTCTTTAGTTCTGATTCTTCCAGGTGCTCTATTCTGTTAAAGATAAACTTATGTATGTCTTTAAAAACACCCTATTATATTTTAATCTTCTTAACAAGCAGTCAAAAAGAGCCCCAAACAACCCAAACCTGTATCTGTACCTCGTGATTTTAATCCTCGTTCTGCAATATTAGCACTGGCACTGTGGCTGAGTGGCAGCTTAGAGGTTTTTGTCTAAGAAAATTTCCTCTTGCATTTTGTACTTTTTCCATCAATATACTTTTTCCACCATAAGCTAGCACCACTTGAATTTCTTAGTATGATTACTTTAAGCACAAATTAGCCACATTCAACTACTCTTCCGCTTGAAAGGTTTGGTCAAGTTTGTTTAGAGTATGGACAGAATTCCAAACTGAACCCAAATGAACTTAGAAAAAGTGTAGTATGTTGGCCTAATACTCACAGTTCAATACATGTTACCAAGTCAAAACCAAGCATGCAAGGATCTTTATGGGCAACTGAACCATGATGCAAGGTAACAGTTAGGGATCTTTCAGCCGGTTGCAAATAATCAACAGGAAGAGGAGACAACCTATGCCTACAAAAGTATTAAAAACATGTCATAGAAAGGACCTTTGGATAAGATACATTGAACTAGCTAACACCCTACATAGATACCTTGTAAATGTCAAAAAGCTTAACTATTTTACAGGGATTAAAAAAAAGAATTTCTAATACAAACAATTTTTATGACTATCTACAATAGGACAGAAAGAGCAGAGGACTTAATCCAGCAGTTGTCTGTCACGTTTACAAAATTTTCCACTATACTCCCAAGCCACTTGGAAATTCTGATAATAGCTCAGCTCTAGACGCACAGTAAGTCTGGCTTAGACGCGCTTTATGGGGGTTTTGGGGAAGCTATTAGCAAGCATATTAACCTATTTTTCAAAATAAAATAGACTGAGAACTAAAATATATGTGCAAATTTCATTCTGAAATACTGCACCAGACAAAACACACAATAAACATTACATATAATAAAAGACTAGTTTTCTTCAGAAAGAGCAAGTAATGTCAGCATCTAGATCCCACATATTCACTGAAACCATATTAATCAGCTTCCAAGAGAGAAACTTTGGTGTTCCTCACCAGTCTGACCCATGCTTCAAAAATCACATAAACTTCATATTTTAGAGCCTTCTAAGCCAGACACAAAACATTGAGCTAACCTTCCTATTTTTAGAAGATTAACAAGAATAAAGTCCCCACCACAGTGACTAAGAGAGTTACATGCACATTTCAAAAAATCAGATTTGCATACCACAGTAATGTCATGTATGACCATAAACAGATACTACTAATACAATTAGTACCTTTACAGTGCATTTCTCAGATGTACATACCTTCAGGGCCATTCCATGACTTAGGCCTTTGCTACATTAGGTGATGTTATGGACATCTACAGCCCACTAATCCCCAGACACTCTAACTAAATAACAATGGATAGCTCTTCATTTGCCAAGCTGCTATTTCTGCATTTACCCTCATCTTGAAATTCTTCACAAGAAATGATGTAACATGCCACTAGGTCAAGCCAAATACAAACCTTAAATTAAGACAGCAAGAGCTTACATTTTCTCTTTCATTACACTTGCACAGATATCTAGCCCAGCTAACACTTCAATGCAACTGCAGAATTTCAGCATCCAGAGAAGTGTGCAGTCAGCACATCCTAAATCTGCCACCTGTAAATTAGATATTAAGCAATGTGTAAATGCTGCGTATTTCCAAGTAATTTCAAAGACTTTCATAAAATTAAAAAAATCTATGTATGTCAATGATAAAATAAAGCATGATATATGATAAAATAAAGCATTTCACAATCACAACTACAATTTACTGTTGCGAGCAGGAGACACATGGATTTCAAAATTCTTTTAAAAACATATATGAAGACCCTACAAAATGTTTTAAATGGATTAACCTTTTGTTATCACAGCTATGAGTAAGTACACGTAGAACATCCTACTGACTCTGGAGAATGTTTCCACATGAAGGTGTATTCCCTCAAATAACAGTAAGGTATGATTTTAAGTATTGAAGCTGTAGCAAATTTCACATTTACCACTGCTTTTCACTAGACTACTCTCCATCCAAAACAGTGAGAACAGGCTCACCAGCAGCCAGGTTAGCAGCAAAGGATAAGCATAAAACAAGCTTAAAGGCTCAGTCTAGCGTTTAAGTGGGGAAGGTTGGGGATATTCAGATCCAAAGTCAAATATATAATAGATATTCTTTCCTGTAAGTTTAAGAGGTAGTTGAGTACACAAACCAAAACCCACTGTTCTTTCTCAGGCTAAGTCAAGGTTGAAGCACACTGCTCATTTCTCAGTGTGAAAATCCTGAATTGCTTCTATTCAGCTTACCTCTACTCCGTGGGTAAACAGTAAGTTTACCGTCCCCCCCCTCCCATTTCACATCCTAAATCAGAAAATTCAAACCTTTAAATGCAGATGCAAGACTCATGAATACATTCTATTTACAAGCAGATTATAGTGCCATGACCTCATAGACTGGATTAGATTTTTATTAGCTACTGGAAGTATGATTATGTGAGTGCACTGCAGGCAGATTTCTCATCAATTTCCTGCATGCTCCCTAAGACATTAACATCAGTTTCAGAGTTAAACACTGAAGATAGAGGTATTTCTCAACTTTTTACATTTTGGTAGAAGGTGCTGGGGAGAGAAGGAGATATTAGAAAAGAGCAAACACTACAGAACATTACTTAAAATATTTAACTTTTCAAAATGAGTATTGAAAGAAGAGCCCTGGTAGATTGGGGCGGAGGAGGATGTAACAGGAGGGGGTGACAAGACCTTAAGAAAGTGGAGGAGAATTAGCCTCACATAATCCCACACTCTTAACATTACTTCTCATCTGAGAACATCCATGTGAATGATGAGGTAAACTTGACACAGTATATGGAACTAACAGCTCTAGAAAGCAGAACCAAACTACGATGAAAGCAGCTTGAACCATAATCCTCAGCATTAAATTAAAACCAGAATGCCACCTACTCTCCAAAACAGGCTAAGGCATTTTTCCTGTTAGATTGTCCCCTCTTCCCATCAATGAACATTAATTATATGCACCCCTGAAAAACAAAACATGATCATCAAGCGTCTGTTAAGGCAATTCAGTTTTAACAATAGCTCCGCCACTACGGTTGTTTGGTAATTAGGTCAGCAGATTATCTACACATTTCCGGTCTTCCTGAGATACCTAATGTGAACCTTTCAAATTTATAACGTAAAAAGACAAAACATACCAACCTTCTTAGGTTTGTATTTTCCCACTAGATCTTTAATGAACTGGTAGCGTTGTTTGTACAAAGGAGGTGTAAATTTCATAATTCCTGTAAACTGTTCTTCTTGAAAGTTCTTATCCATAATATTTTGCTAATGCTAAAATAAAAAAGTTACGTCTTATTTTCTCAAGTACTTTATAACATATCAAATTAGAGTTTACTGGTTGCAGTGGTGTTCAATTCACAACTAAGGAGGGGTAGACCTGATCGCAGTTCTATTCAGAGAATGACAAAAACAGAGAAATTAGCAAAATTAGGCAGTAGCTGCTCCGTCCACACAATGATGTAAATAACCTTGCTATAAACAATTATAAATAATATACAATCATAAAAAAAGCAAGTTTCATAATTTGTCATTCTCCATCCAGCACACCTACATAGAGCTTACACAACTGCAACATACTAAACCTTTCTTAGCTTTTCTAGCAAGTGCAGAAAAAGAAATAATTTCTCACCTTTCATCTATCAGTTGTTTTATCTTACAACTCAGATGATTTTATGTATGTATGGCTGAATACAATTTTTACAATGTAACAACCAGCAGGAAATATCTGAATAATTACTACGTTGTGCAAAAGGAAAGGTTCTGCCAGTCCTCAGCTTTAAATTTACTATGAGCTAAGCTTTATTATTAGTGCCTGCCTTTTATAAGTAATCTAACATAATTCAACATGGCATTAGAGTCATAACCATTAGTGCATTTCCAACTCTCCTTTCGTTAAAAACTACATTTTAGCACACATAAATATTTAACAAGAAATATCCCCACTAAACCTAAAAATAAGGCCTTAATGAATGATGAATGAACTCCATGGGAATCACGCAAGTGAAGGAAGGTGGTCCTGTGGGCACATGGCCATCCAGAGCCATCCTCCTAGGTGGCAGCTGCAGCCCAGGGCTCACTAGCAGGTCTAACGAGCACCAGGTCCAACACAACCAGAGCAACCTGATTGCCCCATAGGGTCTTTTGTATGTAAGTACAAATGTATATATATCTATACAAGGCCAGGAAACAGGATCAGCGTTCAGGCCAGCCATTTGCCTCAGGAGCAAAGCGAACCTGTTGGACTACCCTCACCAGTAACCGCCTGAGAAGCCAGCCCCCAGGCACCCACCTCCTCA